TAAAGTACTAAAAAATATTGTAAAAAAAGTTTTAAATAAGTGCTCAAAAATTTTTTTAAGAAGATGACTACCCTTGCATTATCTTTTATTTATTATAAAAAAAAAAAACTTAACAAAAAAACTATTTTTTAATTTAAACCATTAAATACTAACCTTTAATGGTGCCTCATCTAAGGCTTTTATTTTGGAGGCCGAAATGTGCCGCACTAAATACTCCTTGAGATGGGTGTGTGCTGTAATTAAAAGGGTCCCTTCTTTAAGGTACAGTGTAATCAAAACTATTAAAAAAAAAGATTCTTTATAATATTGAAAAAATATTTTATAATTTAAATTTTATTGAATTGTAAAATATATATAGTTAAATAAAAAAAAAGATTCTTTATAATATTGAAAAAATATTTTATAATTTAAATTTTATTGAATTGTAAAATATATATAATTAAATAAAAAGCGAACTTCTTAATATTAAGAGCACTTTTTCATCTAATAATCTCTATTTTTTAATTTAGTATAATTTAAACTATAAAACAATAAATTCTTATAACATTAGCTTAAAAATTAGAGATAATAATTTTACAATTTATCTTTCACAAATTGCATATATATGACTATTAATACAAGGGAAGCAGCGCAGTATTAGGAACTCCTTATTGGTTATAAAATGTGTAGTCTACTTGAACATCAATTCTCTATAAAAAAAATTAGTAAATTAAATTTTGGAGAACGTTTTAGTAGGACTACAAAATTAACCATTGACTCAAGTTAAATTGTAAAAAATTAACCATTGATTTGAGAGAAAAATTCCTGACATTCAATGCCCCTCTTTATCAATGATTATAATTATATCATTTGCATTATATCAAACTACAGTAAATTTAATTTGCTTTTCATTTACTATAAAAACCAAACCAACTAAAAATTATTTTGGTCGGCTCAGTACTTGACTTTCAAGAAACGTTAGGTCGGTTTAGTTTCCCAAAATGTCAAGTAACTGTTTAACTCAAGCGTCCGGGCGCATTTCTTGCTGTGGTTCATTGATGGTTATTGCAACCCAACAGAACTGCTGGTGGATTGTACTCCTGATCAATGTTTGAATTTTATCAAGAACAAATACTAACTTAATTTCTAACCATTTCTTCTATAAAAAAAAAAAAAAAAAACCGCCCGCGAAAACTTTTTTTAGCAAAAGTCAGAAGTTAGGCAAAACTTATTGGTTTTCTATTTCCCTTTTTTTTTATTGGAAAAAAGATTTTATTACTTAGTGGTACCCAACTCACTTACATGTCTATTATTACAACAAATATAGGAGGCAACTCAATCTTAATCCTACCATACCTCTACCTTACCTCCCCCGGACGGCCTCAGGGCCCTTTGTTGATGAATCTAGAAAGTGTTGACTTTTTAAAAGATGTTTTCAACTTCTAAACGGTTAATGATTGAAGTTACAAATATGTAACTTCTTAAGCAGAGATTTTGCCATTAAACTTCTTAATTTGATTTTTTTTATTAATTTTTAATCTTTTATTATTTTATAAAAATTCATAATTCAACATTAATTCTGCAAGAATTCTACTCAAATAGCAATTATATATATATAATTACAATTAGGCTAAACAAACTCTAGTTTCAATTTTTTCAACTTCAACACTCAGGTGGTTTGGTAACCAAACCAATTGATTACATTAGAGAAGACGGGTACCCTATTCACTAATCCATGAGGCTCAAAATATGAAGAGGCTAGTTAGAAAGTGAGCCTAATGAGGCACTAGGAGCAACAAAGAAAACAAAATGAGACTTATGGGAATAGAAGGAGAGTCATGCAACTAATTAACAAAACTAGTAGACTAGTAGTGCAAGAAGCCAAGTTGATCATCAGCACGATCCAATGCGTATCACATGAAGGAAGTACCCTTTACATATGCTCCTCTTATCATTTAAGTGGTCATGACCACCTGCCAAGCTCCAAACATGCATGAAAATGGCAAAATAGAAAGCCTTTTGTCCCAAACAACTAAACACAACCATAACTTATATATAATCTGGCTTCTATTAAAGACATGTGGATAACGTTGGGCACCATGCATGTGCTCATTTCTCTTTTAGATTGCGTGCCTAATTAGATTACATGAAAGCAATAATCCATAAACACACATATGTTACGTGTCAAATGAACCTATCATAAAGAGTGTTAGAAAGAGTATTGCTGGCACTCAATACTCTATCTTTAATAATTCAATCAAAGACAGTTCAAATAATTTCGGATACTCAATTCAGTTGTTTATTCACAAATTAGGTGTTATGATTAGGCAAAAATGCAAAAATGAGGTGTTTTTCAACTTTCAGAGGAACATCTAGCTAGGCCACAAGTGCGAATTTGTTTGGTTCACATGGGTCACTAGAATAGCTACCTCTTTTTACCTAAAAAAAGGAGGCCGATTACAGCCACTGGCTCTGCTTACTTGCCATCCGCTTAAACTTTGTCATATTAATTATTGAAACAGATAGACAGAGACAGAGAGCTTTAGCTTTCTTGCAAACCAAACTACAGAAGAACCTAATCCACCCTTTTAGGTTGTGGTATTCCTGCTTCCAAACCCCAATTGGCCAATTCCTAAATCTTAATTAAATTGTTCAATTTCTTAAAGAGTGGTTATGGATGATCTGCCTTTAGTCGAACCTCAATTATACTGTAAAAGAAAGAAGTTTGAATAATTACCAAAGAAGAACTAAAAAGAATAAACAAGAATCAAGATCATGATATTAGTGTAAATAATGTTGTTAATAATTAATAACACACAATGATTTTCATCTAATAATGGCAATCAACTAACGAAGATGCTGAAAAGACCAGCAAATTTTCGTTGGACCCAAATGAAAATTTTGATTCCTCTTCTGGGGCAGGAAGATTGAGATCCAGTTGCAGAAGATTTCTGGATTTCTTTGAAACTTGTGATTCAGGACTACTTGTACCAGCACTCGAGGCTACGGCCGTTGTCGGGTTGGCAAACGTCCTGTGCCGCCGCATGTGTCCTCCCAGAGCTTGACCAGAGGAGAACTCGGCGCCGCAGATTGAGCATTCGTGGACCTTGTTTGATCTTCCGGAACTGTTGCATAAAGCCCTGTTTGCAATTTGCAGCGAAAGGGTTGTGCTCATGTTCAACTGCAATCGATCATCCTCCTCTTCCCCGAATTTCAACCCTGCCTTCTCCTCGTTGGCAATTACCTTCGGTTTCTTGTGACTCGCTCTGTGTCCTCCAAGCGCTTGGAACGACTGGAAGCACCGGTTACACGTCTTGCACTGGTAAACGTACCCTGCTACGGCAGTCGGCCGTTCTGTTTTTCTCGTTCTTCCTTGAGCCAGAAGTATCAAACAATTGGCCATGTCTTCCTCCTCCTCCGTGCTCTCCGCTAACTCACCTGACGTTACCGGCGATGATGACACAGCTGCACGGTCAACACAACCCAATTCGCCTCCACTTTCCTCACCACTGCAAGAACTCGAAGACATGGCCAAAGTGAGCGGAGTCAGAGGCCTTGGACGCTTGGTGCGCTTCCCCTTCATAATTCCCAAGTGATCTTTACACGGTACAACTTCCTCCGGAACCTCCATCATCATCTTCTGTACAGAACAACAAACCCAAGAGGTGAAGAAAAACAGAGAAATTCTGTTGTGTAGAGATACCAAAGGTTTTATGAATAGTACTGGTTGTTATGATTCAGAGTAAAAGACAATTATAGCAAAAAAACAAGAACCCTCTTGTGAATTTGGTTGGTTTTAGTAGTGTTCTGTTACCAAGCTTGGTATATATATAGTATTATGATATAGAGAAAACAGTAGAGATGTGTAATATTAAATTCAGGTGGAGGAAGATGCAATGTGAGCATGAGGAGGGCACGAAACGAGTGAGATTCGGGTGGCTTTGAAGCAAACCCATTACTTTTTTCTAACGATTCCTCTACTGGATGATTGGTTTGCAAGACTGGAACCACAGAATTTGCCCCCTTTTAACCTCCCTTTTATTTGCTTTTCTCGCTTGTATGTGTAGACTCTACAATTTTTTTTTCCCCTTCCGATACTGAGGAAATTAAAGATTTACCTGTAATACTAAGTGGAGATTGATTGGTATATCACACAATACATTTATTGAAAAATCGTTATATATTGCTTTGAAATTAAAAGTAGAAAAATTTAGTATATAAAAACTAACTAAATTGATTATATTTGCATTATATTTTAATAATTGAATTAAATGAGTGTAAAAAATTATGTTACATTAGAGGGTGTAATTATTTTTTTTATATATATATTATACATATTATTAATTTAATAATACATCATAATTATAAATTTATAATTTTATATAATATTATAATTATAATATTCTCGTTTCATCAAAATAATTAATGTGCGCACTTGGACTTTTGAATCTAATGACATCATGTCACGTATAAATACATTCTCCTATTCCCGAACAACGATTTGAATCTGACCCCATGCGAATTTGCTCAAAAAAAAAAAAAAAATAGTTAATGTGCAGTTGACAGTACATACAGATGCTTGCTTCTTGGATGGACAATTAAACCACAAAAATCACGCTGATTGTGTGATTCCAGTTACTAATTTGACTTATTTAAGGCATTTGTATGCTTTAACCCAATCATTAGGGTTGGTAGAGGGATGAAAGAGTGACAGCCTTGCCAAAACATACATTACAAATTGTTTATTACCTCATTTTTTGAAGGCCCCAAATTTATGTATCTAAGGTTTTATTTATTTAATTTTTTTCCAATAAAGATTTGACTATTTGTAAGTACTACTACCCTATGTGGGGATGGGGATGCCCTTTTGGTCTAAATGGATTGGCTGACTTTAACATCATAAACAAAAGCTTCAAGCTCTATGCATTCATTTCACAATAACATGAATATGATTCTTGAGGGGACCAAGAAGTTGAGTTGTTGTGAATCTTCTACTGCATGATATGTGCATGCTCTGAACCACAAGAAACCTTAATACGTTCAGTACATCAACGCTAATTAACAGTGGTGGTACCACATACACCCATGGTAGGGCTGCCCTACCATGGGTTCTGAAAAATCAAAAAATAAAGAGGAAAACTTGAGGTTTTAGGGGGAAATAAAAAGGTTAAAGGCCATACGATAACCTTTTTAGGGGCAAAATAAGCTTAAACTCAAGTTTAGAAAAAGAAAAGGTCCTACTCCTCTTCGATTCTTGGTTTTGTCGCTACTCATTAATAAAATGTATAAATATAACAATTTCTAGTTAAGATCTTAATGCATGGTATTTTTCTTACAAATTAACTTCTTCTTTTTTAACATTTTAATTAGTTTCAAACTTGAAATTTTAACTTATTAAGTTATAATTGATCTCTTGTTGAGATGTTCATTTGAGGGCACAAATTAACTTTTTAGAAATAAGAAAGTGCGACCTGAAATTTCTCAATAACTACAGCAAGTCATTTTATTTTATTTTTTAGTCCAAAGTTTTTCTCTTTTTATTTGGTTGGAAAGTTAACAAGTCTTTTTCTAATAATTTGCATATACCTTAAAACGAATTCCTTTTTATTTGATCTTACTGACATAGTTGCATAATGTCCTTATACATTAATTTTTTCAAAACAATAAAGCTAAATTTTCACCATTTTTTTTTTTCATATACTAATCTTAAGATTTAAACTCTGAATCTAAGCAATAAAACAACATTTGCCGACAATTCCAACCTTTCTAATTTAAGTGATCTCATTGTGACTTAAGCCTGTGTAAGTATATTGTCATCTTCCTGAAAAAGAGTTTAACTTGTAGTTCTAAAAAGAGTCTTAATCAATCAAAAAGGGTTTGTTAGTTGCATGGAACATTCTCTAGAGTTTACTTTTTTGAAGGAGCGGTTACAAGGAGTGCTACTCAAATAATCTGCCACCATGAAGCAAACCTAAAATAATTAATAAACAAGTCTTTTGGGACGGTTAGAAGGCAAGGGAGTTCCCAATTATTCAAGGCAATGTGTGTGAAGTGAATATAGGTATGAGGGAGAGTGTGTGAGGCAGAGATTCTTGGCGTGACGAATTGTTTTTGGGAAGGGGATGTGTGTGACAGGCAAACGCCAGCATCAGCAGTAGTTAGTAGCCTAAAGTAAGGCATCCAATTAAATTCTAATTTTGGTCATATTTTCAGAGATTTCGTTGGTAAACTTAACTTGGAGGATTTTTTTTCCCCTTAAAAAAAATGGTTCTTTGCTTTTTGCGTGCTCTTTCTTGTTTTCTTGAACTCTCTTTCTTCTACATTGAATCTAGAATGTTTTTAAATTCAAGATAGCAAAATGAATTGAAACGCTAGTCTCGGATCCAAGCTAAGAACAGTTAATATATAAATCTCGAAATTAATTACTATTAATAACTTTTTATAAATGATGCCAAGAGCCAAAATTATGCATGAAGTCAGCAAAAAGGAAACAGATCTTGTTGTAAAATCGTGGATAAAGGATGTGGGGTTACTGATACAAAGAATTGCTCAAATGCTTAAAGTTGGTTGTGAACAGTACTGCCTTTGTTCTCACCCTTTTTTCTTTTTCTTTTTTTTTTTTTTTAAGTATGCACGGTAAATTAGACTACTTTTTGTATATTTGTACTGGTTGAGTGTTCTTTATACTCACATAAATAAAATTGCTGTTCAATAAAAAAAAAAAAAAAAACTACTAATGATAACTTTAGCTGAAAATTTAAAAGTAACATACATATTAGTCTGACAGTCTTACAAGTTGTTTAGGTTGCAGATCCTTACCCAAATTGTTTCACAAATAATGATTGGAATTGCGTGTGAACATCATTTTGTTTATTATTATTAATGATGATAAAGTCTAATCTTCTTTACTCCTCACATGAAGGAAATAACTGGCGTTTGAATTGTTTA